TGACCCCAACCTTTTTGGTACCCCCAAACCTTGCATAACCCAACCCTTGGGTTCCTCCACTCTTCAACGCCTCCATTCTTCCTGACCTCAACCTACAGCGACCCCCAATTTTGGGTTCCCCCCTGCCATGGGTCACCCCAACCTTTGGTGGGCCCCACCCTCCGCCCACCCCCCCCCCATCTCCCCCCACCCAAACACCCACCTCCTGGCTCAGGACCTGCAGTGGGTCGGTGGTCCCGGGCCGCAGGTGGCGGTGCAGCAGAGCATCCCGTGTCAAAATGGCGCCCGCCCGCAGCACGAAGGAGAGGAACAGGTTGGCATGGATGTAGTTACGGGTGCACCGCAGGCGCCTGCGGGGATGGAGGGACCCCTGGGCAGCACCCATGGGTGCCCCATAGCACCTATGGGTGCTCTGAAAGTGCTCAACCCCATAGGTGCTATGGGGCACCCAAACGTGCTCATGTAGCGCACAGCACCCATAGGCACCCAGGGGTGTCCCACAGCACCCACTGGTGCTCCTGGAGTGCTTGCCCCCATAGGCACCCCACAGCACCTATGGGTGCCCTGCTGCACTCATGGGTGCTCATGTAGTGCTCAGCCCCATAAGTGCCCCACAGCACCCTCAGATTCCCCGTACCACCTATGGGTGCTCCTGCAGTGCTCAGCCCCGTAGGCACCCCACAGCACATACAGGCGCCCCATAGCACCCATGGGTGCTCCACAACACCTATGGGTGCTCCTGCAGCGCTCAGCCCCAAAGGTGCCCCATAGCACCCATGGGTGCTCCATACCACCTATGGGTGCTCCTGCAGCGCTCAGCCCCGTAGGCACCCCACAGCACATACAGGCGCCCCATAGCACCCATGGGTGCCCCCTCGGTGTCCCGTACCTGAAGAGCAGCAGCAACAGGAGGGCGAGGAGCAGGGAGACCAGGGACACCGAGTAACCGACGGTGTAAACCAGGCGGAACTGCTCCAGCAGCCAGGCCTGCCGCTGTGTGGGGCACAGGGGGGACATGGGGACAACACGATGTGTCACGACAAACTGTGACATACCGCGATGTACTGCGATATATCGCGACGTATCACAGCGTATCGCGATGTATCGCGGCATATCACAACGAATCGTGACATATCGCCGTGTGTCATGATGTATCGCGACGTATCGCGACGCAGCATGACATATCATGATGTGCCATCGTGTACTGTGATGTATCACAATGCATTGCAATGTATCATGGCTGATCATGGTGTATCGTGACGTACTGTACTGCATCGTGATATATCGTCCCGTATCATGACATGTTGTGCTGTATCGCAACATATATCGCGATATATCATGACATATCATGACGTATCTTGATCCATCGCAGCATATCATGACATATTGCACTGTATCACGACATACGGTGCCATATCATGACATAACATGCTGTATCATGACATGTCTCGCCATATCATGCTATATTGTGCTGTGTTTGGCCATATCGCGCCATATCATGTCATATCGTGACATACCATGCCATATCGTGACATATCGTGACATATCATGTCATATCGTGACATATCGTGCCATATCATGCCGTAACACAACATACCATGCCATATCGTGCCATATCATGCCATATCATGCCATATCATGCCGTAACACGACATACCATGCCATATCATTCCATATCATGCCATACCGTGCCATATCATGCCATATCGTGACATATCGTGCCGTATCATGCCGTAACACAACATACCATGCCATATCATGCCATATCGTGACATATCGTGCCATATCGTGCCGTATCATGCCGTAACACGACATACCATGCCACACCGTGCCATATCACTCCGTATCGCTCCGCACCACGCTGGCACCCACCTGCAGCGGCGTCTCCTGCTCCGTGTCCTCACACTGCGAATGATCCCTCCAGGGCCGCCCGCTGCCGTCCGTCACCCATTGCCCGTCGGGGCCACAGCGTCGCACCACCACCCCGCCCTGCACTGCCGCCACCACCACGTCACCTCCACTGCTCCCCTGGTAACTCTCCCTCCCCCCCCCCCCCCCCCGCCCCCCCTCCCCTCTCCCCCCCCCCCCGCTGCCCCGGGACCACCCCCGCGGGGGGGGCCCGCTCCCCTCTCGCCCCCCCCCGCTGCCCCCCATCCTTACCTCGGTGGTGCCAGGGCAGGTACCACGGGCACGGGGCGGTGGCGGTGCTGTTGGGTGCCGCGTCCCCCCAGCACACGTACATGTCGAAACTGCGATTGCAGACGGGCCCTGATGTTGGGGGTGGGGGGAAATCAGGGTGGTGCCGCCTCCCGGAGGTGCTGCTGCCCCCTTTCCAACCCCAACCTTTCAAACCTCACCCCACTGCTCTCACCAGGGGCCGGGGGGTCGTGGCGGAGGCGCAGCTCGCAGGCATGGCGGTACTGCTGCCAGGCGGCCAACGTGGCCGCGGCCGAGCGCTCACCCTGCATGGGGACAGGAGATGAGGGAGGGGACGTCAGATGGGGGACATCGCCATGGGGACCCTGCGGGGACATCGTTATGGGGGAGATCAACCCGGGGGCGCCACCCAGGGGACAGCGTGTGGGGACGTCACCACGAGGACATGGTTATGGGGACACTGATTTGGGGACACCACCACGAGGTGACCACCACGAGGACATCGTTATGGGGACACTGAATTGAGGGCGCCACCACCACGGGGACATCACTGGGGACACCACCATCCCCCAAGATCCAATGGGATCCTCCCATCTTCCTCCCATCCAATGGGATGGGAGCGTTGGAAGGGGTCC